CCCCCGGCTGACCCCAGCCCCCAACTCCCCCTATTGAGGGCGGGGCCAGACCCAACCCATGCACAAATTCGTGCACCAGGCCACTAGTAAAATATAAGTCAAATTCCAGACACCAAAGTTGAAGGTATTACATTAATATTCCCTGTGTATAATTAAAAAACTTTATCTTAAAGTTATAAATAGCTGAAGAAAACCAAGAGGACCAAACATTCTGGAAATGAATAAATGTCTTATGATAGCTTGTATGTTAAATACTAATTATATATAAAATCTCAAAGATCATCAATTCATATTATAAACAAAATGTTTTTATTATAATGAGTGACTTTGGTTATTTTGGTTGTTTTTATTTAAGTTTCTGTGATTATAGAAGACACATCACCATCTCTAATCAGAGCATGAGATATGCCACTGTTGGTAATTTCAATGAAATTTCACTGAGTTCATCACTGAGAGTAGTATTTTTAATTTATGACACAGCTTTCTCTTGCATATTTAACCACTACAGCATATTGGCAAAGAAAAATAATTTCATTGTGACATGTGAGGAAAATTCTTCTGGATCATAAAAATTAAAATATTCATGAACTCTCTAGTTCAGAAGTAAACCAGTTTTCTATCACATAAGAAAAAAGTACATTTGGAAATGAATGGGGAATGTTCCATTCAATAAGCAGATATTAGATTTGAGTATGATTCTATTATAAAAATGTTTGTTAATATTTATTAAGAAACCATAAGAATTTTTTCTGCACTAAACATGTATATATTTTCCTTAGCCATTTGGAAGTATTTTAATATTTAATAATTTTAAAAATATATGAAAGATATCTAGAGATGGTATCATCATAAAAAATAAACACATTGTACCCAACCGGTTTGGCTCAGTAGATAGAGCGTCGGCCTGCAGACTGAAAGGTCCCAGGTTCAATTCTGGTCAAGGGCATGTACCTTGGTTGCAGGCACATCCCCAGGAGGGGTTTGCAGGAGGCAGCTGATCGATGTTTCTAACTTTCTATCCCTCTCCCTTCTTCTCTGTAAAAAATCAATAAAATATATTTTATAAATAAATAAATAAATAAATACATTGCACTGAATTCTTGGTTTAAGCTTCTTTCATTTGAACATTGTACATACTTTTCCTTTATGGTGTCAAAATTTACATTAGCATTTTAAAAGCTCTAACAAGTTCTACAAGTAAAATAATTTTTTCACACATCATTTTCTCCTGGTTTGACTTAAACACAGATCTATGTATTCTACAATCCTTTTTGGTGCACACACACAGTATTTTTTATATACATATTTTGTGGAAGGAAATGCCAGTTGTTTAATTAATAAAACCTCAATACAGGAAAAGAAACAGGAAAAACATATCCAAAATCAAATGCTAAAATAAAAGTAAATAAATAAATAAACCATTTGTTTGAGATATAAGAATTGTATTCATTTAGTTGGAATTCATCATTTCTAAAGAGACACACAGTATCTTAGTTGCTAAGTTACATCATATGAGAATCATCATGTGGTTAAATTGTATATTTTTTAAAATATGACTAGGCTTGAATAGATACAGTGGGGCCTTGACTTACAAGTGTCCCAACTAATGATTTTTTTGAGATACCATCTGTCTCTCTGCCGATTTTTTGCATTGAGTTGATAGAGTAATTTGAGTTAATGAGCTCCTTAATGAGCTCCTTAACGAGCTCGGTCTCGGAACGAATTAAACTCGTAAGTCAAGGCCCCACTGTATAGGATTCTTGTCATCACTCCTATCAAATACTCTCCATAAAAGGCCTGAAAGAAAGGTGTTGGGCCTTTTTTCCTACATAATTGGTCAGAATGGGAAAAGTCCTACATTTATAAAGGTTAGCAATATATAATCTATGTCTCCAAGGAGAAAACTAGAAAGAGGTTCCCTCTCCTACCCATTTCTCTCTTTAAGGTAAACACACACACACACCACTAATGACAACACACACACACACACACCCCACTAATGACAACTATTCATTTGTTGAACAGGGAGGTTTTGCAGTGCTAGCAATAACCACCAATTCACAGCAGAGAATTAGTAATTGCTATAGAGTCAGCTCTTTTATTAGTGCTAGCATAGAGACCCCTGCAAGGAACAGTGCTAATAGCTTCAGAATGAGAATATACATCCATCTTATTTCATATTAGCTTTACCTTGCTTAAAACAAAGTCTAGTGTTTTAACTCCAACCACAGTCATGATTTGGAGCATGTAAATGAGTAAACTATTGATTCACTTACAGCAATTCACCGGGTCTTCATCACTCTTATCAGAACAGTCCTGCTGAGAGTCACAAACTGATTCCTGGGCAATGCACTGACCACTGGCACAAGTGAATTCACCTGCAGAGCAAGACTTTCTGGACGGGGCCTGTGCACACACATAGACCCAGAGCTGATCCAGCCCAATAAAACTTCTCTGGCTCAAAAGAGCCCCTTCGAATATAATCTTTAGTGGGGGGAAAAAAATAAAAAAAATGAGTTCATAATCTCTTAAAAAGACTAATTATAATAATAATAGAGATTAAATTATTGAGAAAACATCTGTTTAAAGAGCAGGCAAATACAACTGATAACAAAGTTCTTATTTGAGAAGCTTAACCCACACACATAAGATTAATGGGCACATTAGATCCACTGAAGCCTCTGAGAAACCACCCATGCCCATGATCAGGTGAAGTATAGCATCCCACTTAATCCTCAATGATATCCCTGACTGCAAACTATTTACTTGGTCTCATCTTTGTAGCTCTCTCTCTTTAATATTTAAGGAAAAGACTAAGAATTGTCACTATGTACACAGCAATAGCTATGCATATTTTTTACCTACTGAAAGTAGTATTGGAATGAAGAGAAATGTCATGCAAATGGTAAGGGATGCATCAGAAGAATAGAAAATTTAAAAAATATAAAAATATATTAATTTTTATCAAAAAAGAATATCTTTAATAATCAAAGCTTAAATTAAAGGAAATAAATCTCATTTTCTTCAATCAAATCACTAGCTTTTCTGAAGGTATACAATACTAGCTAGTGAAACAGCCATATGTTCCTAGTCCAAAGTAAGATAATATCAAAATACTTTTGTAGGAACTGATTCTTTAAATTGATTTGAGAGAGAGAAAAAGAGAGGGGGGGAGAGAGAGAGAGATCCACATGAGAGAGAAACATCCATCAGTTGTCTCCCACACAGGCCCCAACCAGGGATTGAACCTGCAACCTAGACATGTGCTCTGACCGGGAATCGAACCCACCACCTTTCTGGTGTACAGGACAATGCTCCAATCGAGCCACACTCGCCAGAGCAATGTCAAAGTATTAATCTTCCTTCAGATTCTACCAAGAGCAAAAGTCAACACCAAGAGGAAAAGACAGACAGAAAGAGCTGACTGGATAGCAAATACTAATTCTCTACTGTCCAATATGATAGCCCATAACTACTTAGGGATATTTGAATTTAAATTAATTAAAATTCAGCCCCTCTGTGGCACTAGCCACATTTTAAGTGTTTAATTAGTCACATGCAGTTTGTGGCTACCATGTTGGGAAGCACGGATATAGAAAATTTCCATTACCACAGAAAGTTCAATTGAACAGTGGTGAACTAGAAGTTGTTAACATGTAAATAAGATATTAGAAATAAAAGCCAACTTCTTTTATCTCTTCCAGCTTAAAGTTTCTGAATAAGTTTTCTGCTTTGCAAAAACATGAACAACCAATTTATTATTTGTTTGTTAAGAATTACTTAATATCAAGTTCAGTTTGCAAATATACTTAATGATTTAGTCTAGAAAATAATATTGAATTTAAATATCTAACATTAAGAAAACTTTGTAATCTTCTATACACTTTCCCATGAGTATCATAGTAAAAATGTATAAAATTATTGGATCTAAAGATGTATATTTTCATAACAGCAAGCAATCAGACATGTAGAAATATCAGTTTGAGTTCTAATATTGAAAAATTTAAACTTGTCTCAAAATTTAAACTTAAGTCCCCCAAATCTGCCACTATTAAAAATCTACTTACATTTAATATGCACTTGGAAACCTAGAATAACTTCCAAATTATTTTCTTTATATTTTACTTTGTTTTATCTTGGGGTTAATTAACAAAATTTTAACATTCAGTCTACATAAAAAAAGATGAAACTCCAATCATTTAGTACTCATTTCTTATAAAGTACTTATAAAGATAGGTATCAGCTTAGAAAAGTTTAAATAGTGTCAAAATGTTAACTCAGTAGGCTATGTTATAAGCCTCAACTTTACTGAGATTGCTACAAAAATGCTATGGTTCAGAAATTCCAACCTCAGAAGTAAACAGGATTCTAAAAATCTCATGATTACAGATTAGTGTCATTTGGGTTCTCCCTTTTAACACCTAGAGACATGTATGAATATGGCATTAGCATAAGGAATGAAATTGCTTTCAGAAGCTATACATATACTTATATTCCAATATAAATATATACTTTAATGCAATACATTTATTTTATGTTGCATTAAAGTATATATTTATATTAAATTACTGCACTTCAAAAATAAAATTCTAAATAGCAATTAATACCAGATATTAAAATGTTATCCCACTAACTTACTCTATTTTGTGATATTGCTATAATATTAGAAAAGAAAGAAATGACAGGCAAACATTTAATATGAAAGTTTAAGAAAATGTTGTCACATAATTATTTCAGCACAATTTCAACAAAAGCCCAAGTAAGTTTTCTAGAGACAACTTTCACTCTGGGTCCTCCACTCAGGGGAAGTTTAGCCTGAGAAGGTCTAGGTAGAATGAAAAGAAGTAGGTAATCACTTTCCCCAAACATATAAGTCTACATCTTTAATGTAAATGCTAATTTAAATTTAGCAATGGGTGATAAATTCACCACTACACAGCTAATAATGAAACATGATAAAAAAAATCCTTGCTCTTCCCTTTTATACCTTAAATGTCTTCAGTCCTTCTGGTATTAACACATCTGTTTTCACCCATTTTTTGTGAGTTGATGTATTGTATGTCCAAAATATTTCTTCTTCCTTTGATTGGAATAAAAAGACATTACTCATTCCCCACATTCCACTCTCATACTTACATAGGTACTCTCTTAATTACATTTTAATAGAGTTTACCTACCTGTATGATATTAAGTGCTAAGAAATCTAAAGCATTGGTGAAAGGGGTGTATAACATTTTTTAAAGGAAACAAAGGAAATGGGGGAGCACGAATAGGTGGAGTAGCAAGGATGTTTAGGGCAGTGAAAATAGTCTGTATAATATAATGATGCATATGCCATTATCATTTGTCCAAACCTACAGAATGTACAACATGCTATATTATACATCTGTATAATGATCATTTCCCAGGTTGCAAAGTGTATGCAGAATTATGTTACTACTAAAGGCTCAGTGCACGAAATTGGTGCACGGGTAGGGTCCCTAGGACTGGCCGGTGATCAGGGCTGATCTGCAGGGCGAGCAGTGAGGCAATCGGGCAGGGGGGCCACTGACATCCTCCTTGGACGGCCTGGAGCCACCAACTCGCCGGCCCTGCCCCCCACCACTGCCGCTGGTCACCTCCCTCTAAGGGGTGACCGGCAGAGCAATCAGAGGGCCCTCCATTGGCACCCACCTTGGCTGACCTGGGGCCTGCGGGCTGGGGGCAGCTCCTGCATTGAGCATCTGCCCCCTGGTGGTCAGTGCACGTAATAGCGGCG